AGAGAGAGAGAGAGAAAAGGTAAGGTATATAAGTGAGGCAGCGGGGGGAAATCAGGCGCTCGTCAAAATAATGACATTGAAGAAACTGCCAGTTTGGCAATTTTTGTCTAATTTTTGTTTTTTGGCTTAACACCATTGTTGTCCAATTAAGAACACATTTCTGGGTGGATTTTACTGAAAAACATTGATTAATGGCACAAAAAAATGTAAGTTTTCAGTTTCCAAATCTATCAAGCTATGGGAATAACCAAACTTTGGCGGCCATTTTCTCATGAATTCTACCTTTGAAACCAGGCGACCCCATCTTCTTCAATCTCAAATATCTTGTCTTCTATTCAAGATAGATCGGCATTTTTTTGGACAGATAGCAAGACAATTGAACAAGTTTTAAGATGGTACCAATAACTCCACATGCCCAAAAATTGACGAGCGCCCGATTCCACTGTGTCGTGACACATATGGTGGGTGTGGGCGTGTGTGTGTGTGTGTGCACGCATGCATGCGCATGTATATGCATTCATACGCACATGCCCATGACCACATGAAGGTATGAGACTGACATTACCTTGGTGCCACAGAAGGATGAGTGGTTTCTGGCTCGGCAGCCGTAAAGGTCACATCAATATCGTCAGCTTCTTCTTCATCTCCATCACCACCATTATCTACATCGTTGTCTGTATTTGTTGCATCTGCAAGGAAAACAGTAACACTTTTCTAAAACTGATCTGCGATAGGTATCTATTATTTGAAGGAAAATAAAATGTTCAAATCCACATTAAAACATGTAACGCCAAGTAAGTGAGAAATCAATACATGGCATGTCGAACAGGCTGCCTTACACAATGATGATAAAAAAAAAAAAGCTTGGCAAGATAGTTTTGGAGTTTAATTTGAGTAAAGAGAAGCACACTGACAAAATAAGTCATTTAGTGCAAGAAACAAGCAAAAAGGACAGACAGAAAAAATGACTTACAAGTGGCACTCCCCCCTTCCTATTCTACCATGCTTTTTCCCCCTATAACATAATATAGTCTTCAGTACAGGTAAAATCCCCAATGGCAGTCATGCAGACTGAGGAAAAAAAGCAGCATGTCAGAAATTCACTCGTATTAAAAGTGAGAACTACAAAAATAGGTTGAAATTGGAGCCAAACTCTTCCGCCGTATTAAAAGTGACATTGTGTTATAGGCAAGTGTAAACGATAAGGCGACTCAAACATTTCGACAACAACCAAAGCGAGACTGACCAGTGGAGGCAGAGAGCACATCCTTGAGAAGTGCCAGCCAGCGAGCCAAGTTGGGGATAGCCAGACACTGGAGCAGGGAGTCGATAGTGTCACGCAGGTCAGACAACAGCTGACCGTCTGTCTCTGTGTCCAGCATGCCAAACAGAACACCCTCGAGGCCTGAGGAGACAAGAACAGCGTTAATTATTTGTACTTTTTCACACGACTGTCGGCACAATACGGGCAAAATCAGACATAGTATAAATACAGCTTACAATGTCCAACATATAACTACTGCCTCCACACAAAGGTATTAACTATAAAATTTTCTTCCACCCATTTAAAGAGGACGGAGATCTGCAACCAAAAGACATACTGCTGAAAAAGATGCACAAAAAATATCCACAAGGAGCAGACTACCAAAACAACATGCTGCACACACACACAATAAAAATTCATAGAGAACCCCCACTCCCTCAACCCACACACAGACTAGTCTCATCATTCCTTCTTCTTACACACACATACAAATCCCC